CAACACCGCATTGTCGAAAATATTTTAGTTGGCTAGAGAATGTCCGAATATGCCCTCCATTAAATTTTCAAAGTGATCCGTTGTCTGGTTCACCAGAAACGTCTAATGTGCCATCCACCGTGAATCAGCCTGTATATCATATGATCGCTAACCTTATTTTCATGAAATTGTCTAGAGAAGGCACCTGCCATTTATTTTTCATGCGATATGAATTTCGAACGGTTATTCAGAGCAATTCACGAAGAGTTGACCTGTATGGAGTATCAAAAATCGATTGGAAATGTTTTTCATTCACTTGATAGTTTGAAAAAGTATTTTTTTCAACATACGAAATATAATTATTCTTTTTTCTTTTCAATACTTTTTTTAGTGGCCGGCGGAAGAAGTCGTCTCCACCTCATAGATCTTGGTAATTCTGATCGCGGAAAATCTAGCGGAGGAATTCCCCTTTCCGGTGTTGGAAACATCATTCTAGCTATTTTTAACGGCCAGAAACATCTTCCCTACAAAGAGCATAAACTCACTCATCTACTCAAAGACTGTCTGAGTTCCCTCACTTGTCACGCTGCCATGATAGCTCATGTATCACCATTTGCACAAAATTACTCTGACACTCTGACCACCGTACAACTAGCTTCTAGAATACATCGGATGAGAAGGAGGAGAATCAAGTTCGTTTCTTCGGCTTGCGGGAATGGTTCTGGAGGTAATGATTTCAAATACATTTCATGTCAACATTTATTTTTCATCTATAAATCATTTTTATCCTACCTAGGGAGCTCTGGAGAGGACGCCATGAAAACAACTGGTACAAGTAGTGAACCAGATCCCTCGAGTAGCGATTTATCTGCAGATACCGTTATTTATGTTGGTCCGGCTGATGATGCAACGGATGGAGAACATCCTCCTGTATACCTCCCCAGCTTGAACTCTGGAGACAATCGTTGTTTAATGACCAAAGCCCTCAGAGGTAAATTTTGTTTATTCGTATATTCACCATTCAAGATTCTACTGGGAGGAATTACATTCAATATGTTCTTCTTTTCAAAACTATTACAAAGTATTCGACGTATACTTGAAAATAAGTTAACAGCCACGCGATTCTCTTTACTTTTTTAATTTAAAATCATTTTAACATAAATTCAAATTCAATGGGTAAATATTATTTTATTTACTGCTTCAATATAATTATCATAATTCCAATATATGTATATATAACTTTTTCAGGTTCTATTGCTGAGCAGAAACCACTGCAGTCGCCAAAACAGCAGAAGCTGGAAGATAAACCGACTGCACATCGAACTATGAGAACCTGTCACAGTAATAAAACATCTCCCTCTCATACGAATTCACCCAAAGCTTCACCTAGTAGAATACCATCTCTGAAGTCAAGAATAGACAACAGTAAGCAATCTACTGCTGGTTGCAGTGATGAACAATGGATCGATGGTCCTCGAGTATCCAAGTCGAAAATTGCTGAAGCTTTACATTTAATGAAAGAAGCTTGTCATGTCAAGAAGTGTGAAACTTGGATAGATGGCCCGATGCAAGATGAAGCCCCTATAGCCTACGGCTATATGGATAGTCACAAAAAAAATATGATCAGACAGTGGGTTGAACATCAGACAATTCAAATTCAGAAGACAAAACACCCTAGTCCCAAAATAGCAGCAGTGAGGTCTTCTAAAGATGCTACAAAGCAACTGACACAGTTCAAGTGTAGTGAGGAAGCAAATGGTAAAGAAAACACTAGTATCAAACAACGAGAAGATACATTTGTGAATGACGGAGGAGCAAAAGAAGAATATTTGAAGGAAGAAGATTTAGAAGACGATGAGGAGCCAGAAATTCCTCCTGCCCTTCCACTTATTCAGCCTCTTAGTAGTAGGGAAGTGTCTCTGGAAAGCCTTGATCAGTTACTCAAGGAAAGAATGCTCTCTAATGCCGAATATAACAACTTTCAGAAGAGTGCATACGATGAAGAACATGACGATGATGAAGTATTGGAAATAATTGAGGTGGAGGAGCCTCTTGAACCAGTTCCAACTCAAGATTGTTGTTTGCAAGTTACTGAGGAGGACATTGCACTTTGCATGGGATATGTCGAAAATCCATTACCAGAAGTTGACCAAGAAAATCCTTTGGATCATCCTTTGAGGATCCTCAGCCAAGAAAATCTTACAGTTGTATCCACTTTCACAGATTCCATGTCAGTTTTCAACGACCTCGAACGAATTCTGCCACGTTACCACCTTGAGCAGAACGGGTATTACAATAACGACTATGAAGATCCCGACAATCCATATCCCAAGACTGCAAATATGAATTCCTCTTCACAAAAATTGAATCAGTTGACGCGCTTACACGAAATTTACTCAAATAGATTGGCTGAAGCTAACGTTTTCAATTCGGAAATGTATCGAAGACAAAATCAGGGCAAAGGGCTTCCTAGATGCGAATCCTTAACACTTACCGACATGTTGCATGGAAGACAGAAAGAAAGCAAAGACGACAGTAGCATTTACAGTGAGCCCGCGTATGTACAAGAGAAGTTTTGCGAAAACTGCAAAGTGAATTTATCGAGACCGACATGTTCCGACACTTACTTTTTCAGTAGCACCCGAAACTTGACTGAGAAAACACCATATGTAATCGGCAGCAGATTCCAGAGATACAGTCACAAGTACAGAGATAACTTGGCTCATTTGCGACATCCAGACGGAGCTTCGAATCCAAATTTAGATGAGGTTTTAAAAAGAGTTCCCGGTAACGGTGCTTGCTCTTCTGAAGTGGTTCCGGAGTCGGTAACTTCTCAGCCTCTACCTCCACCGACTAGTCTTCCATCAGCTGAGAGGATAAACCGAGCTATTCTCAGTTTAGAAACTGGGGTAACGGCTGTCAAGCTCAGTCACAAATCAGAAGGATATGACAGTGGGCATGACTCAACTCCAAGAACGTCCAAGCATAGCCCGGCGGCAATTTCCAGAAGGGCTGAGAGCGGTTATGATAGTATTGTTAGAGATAGTGAGAGTTCCAGTATTGATTCTGAGCCTAGTAGATTGTCGCACTGTCAAGGTAGAAGAGGTAAATGTAAACACAAACATGATAAATCCTTTTGTTCTTGGTTTTTGAATCCTTTCACATGTAAATATATAGATGAGCCTCCAGAAACACATTTTTGAACACTTTTGAGATTTTTTTTTCGAATATCAGACTAGCAACCACGAAACTCAAGAAACCACAGATGAGAATATACTTGTGATGCACTGTTTGGAACCTTTGGTGAAGTAATAAATATTACTGGAGTTTTATCCCAACACCAAACCGTTGGTGTTGGGATAAAACTCCAGTAATATTCAGATGAGAGTATGTTAGATGAGTTCCGTCCATTATCAGTTGATGTGATCTAATGTGAACGAAAAGTGTTTACCTGTAAGACATAATATTAGATCACGAGTTCTGGGTGATACTGAGAAATCGTAGGAAATAATCAGTTTTTAAACTCTTCTGTGAGGTGCACAAGTTTTATATATGCGCGGTAACGATTCTTAGTTTTGAGTTGAAAATATTAAATCAAGAGGGAAAGTCGTTAAAAACTTCATTATATCACTTTAGATCACATTAATTTAACCATAATGAATATTTTTCCATGTATCCTTTTTGAAATAGTTCTTTGTCAACTGTGTTAAAATTGATTATGTTTGAGGTGGATCAATTTTCCTTTGGTTTTCTCATGATTTTGATACTAGTTTGATGTTCGAATCACTTGGTCAACCTGTCTATGTTCTCCTTACAATTCATTTATATTCATGTGGGCAACATAAATAAGTTCATTTGAGATTCAAGAGGCTGTCTGATCAAATTATTTGCAAATATTCACTTTCTTCATAAGAATAGTTCAATCGAGAGTGGGATGAGATAAAAGGACTGAGATTATTGCAAACGCTTCATTTATTCTGAATCAAGAGATTTTCGAATATGAAAAATAGAATTTGGAACCACTGGCGTAAATAAAATCTATTGAAATCATTCTTATCTCACCATAATAAAAATGCAGTCTCTGGTCCCGCATTTCGTTAACCTAGTTACCATCATCAGGAGATTATTGAGAATATTCTTCTAACGACTATGCTGATATTTCATACATATCTAGACGAATCATACATTTCATTTTAAACTGATTCTTTGTACTTAATGTTATGTGCTACCTGCCTGTTATTTTTTATCTGTTTTCTACCTTTGTTTGAACGTGGTTGACAATGTTTCGTGGTGTATTTCATCAGTTCGGACTTCCATTGTCTAATAAAATATAAATTGATTTGAAATCCTGAATCCGTGTGGTGAGTATGAGTGCGTGTTCCGCTATTGCCGTTTGTCTTTTTCACCTAATCTACAGTTTCTTCGATGTCACTCAGCCTTGTCCCCATGGATCTTTTCGTGGTACCGATATAACCGGTATATCATATACCATGCACCTGCGAAAAAGTTTATATCGGTACCACCAAAAGATCCATGGGTACAAGGCTGAATGAACATCGGAGAATGAATGAAGATAGTAACATTGAAAATCTCGCCGGGAAAGCCTTAACCAATTTATCAGCTCTTTTTTTACAATCTTACATAATAACAGGGAGAAATAGAAAAAATATTAAATATCCGGCAGGTAGCAAATAATATTAGACAATAGGAATCAATTTAATGACCATCGTTATGTAAGATAATGATTCGTCTAGATACGCTGATGCTAACTTGGTTAGCGAAAGACGGGAAAAACATTTTTGTTCTGGTTAAGGAATATTATTTTCAATAGATTTTCAAATATATTCGATCTGAATCATCACTTATTCATTCTACTGACTATTTCAATAAGACTTCCCTTGGTTCCTTTATCTTTCTTCAAAAATAAACACCATACGCATTTGTGATGAACCTGATATGTAAGTACCACCATGCAAAAAATTAAATAACAATATTTCATGTCAAGTACTTTCTAATAATGAATAATTTGACGAAATAATATTTTCTAGTGAGAGTTCTTCCAATTCACTCCATTCCACCATTTATTTCCATTTCATCAGTTGAATTGATTCAATTTAATTTTTTAAATTTCAGTGGTGTTTATTTTTGGACGTATATTAAGTCTGTTTTATGAACTGAATAGTATTTTAACATCTCTACTAAACGTGTAAGAATATCTGAAACTTTAATTTTACAAAAATATGTATTTATAAGAAGATAACAAAATGTAGAATAGTATCTATCAATAACGAAACAGTATGATCAGTATACGTTGAAATATGTGTCAAATTCATTATACATACATATGATTTCATCATCGAAATATTTTGTACATTGTGCATATCATGTCGAATTTTATGAAAGGGATCAAAATTTATATCTTGCCAACTTTTCTACCGATTGAACCGTTATATGCTTTTTGATCTCATAAATAGTAGCTTCTGTAAGAGCTTCTACATCTTCCTATAATTTGTATTTTTAGAGAATATTTTGAAAGTATACGACTGTCTTTTCGAAACTACAAAGAACTGAATATTCAAAAAAAGGTTTTTCAAGGCATCCCTTCATTACTGAAAATTTCGTGAAAGAAGCTTGAAAATTTAAAAAATGACAGTATTTTTCATGTTTTCGAAAAGATGTTGTATATTCAAGTAATTAGATTTCGAGGCCTCGATAACAGTTTAATTTCTGAATATCACTATTTGAAAACTATCACACTGTCTTCAAGCTGTTGATAATGAATCCAAACATATCTTAACACACATATAAGATCGTATTACATCTACATTGGTAGCAGTTAGAATATTGTACTACACTATGTTCATTTTTCTAAGTCGGAATTCAACAATATTCCGAGATTTCAGCCGAAATTTGATGAAAATAATTTTCAATCTCACAATTTTTGTTAAATTCTGACTTTCAACTCGAAAATTTATTCAAGTCCGACTTTAAACTCAAAACTTATTGATTTTTTTCAAAATCATATGTAGCCCTTCGACGCCTTTGTACTTATATTGAAATATGATCCACGCATGTTTGTATAGAGTTACCTCTTTGAAATTGATTGCTTCCTGTCTTTTTTTTGAAAAATTTCCACATGGTTTTGTATAAAGATGGAGAAGTATAAAGCCAAAACCTTTCTTTTCCAAAAATTAATCTCTCTTATAAATATACACCTTTCAAATTATGAGTAGGAACATTTTTTAAATAGATAGAGAACAAACATTGATAGTTTACGACATCAGGTAGAGTGATATTCATAAACATAATTCCCTATGATTATACTTGGCAGAATGCTTCGATATAAAAGCAAAAATCAATTCCCAAATTGAATAAATTTCATTACTTGAATAACGGGAAATTTGGAAATTTCAGCAAGAACATTTGTTCGAAAGTGCAATGTTCCAAAATACAAATAGAGTACATAAATGACTAAACTCGTATATATCATACTTGACGCGAGTTAAGTAACTTTGAAGTCGAAAACCGTTTTTAAAAACAATTTATTTTATTCAAAATTACAATATAAATTTCTAGAGAACTTCTCACATCGAGATCTGCAAAATGAATGATTAAAAAGTTACGATGATAATCGTTTCTGGATCCGGGGTGGGAATCTGCAAGCACTGCATTTCCTTGGATAGTCTGCAAAATCTCTTCACATAACTTGCATTACCAATACTTCTTACTATTCATTTCATTGAAATTCAGAATTCGAATAAGTTTTGATTAGGATCTGGACATTTCTGGATATCATATATTCATGGGGAAATTTCGATTGAAGAATTATGATAGGAAGCCTCCAAATCTATGATATGTTTTATATTTTATTTGTGATAAAGTAGATGATATACTCAAACTATTGTTTTCAGAAGAGTATTACTATACATTTATGTACATTAATGTAAATTTGTGTATTTATTTAATATTGTTACTTGAATTTATTTGTAATAAAGCGTTAGAACTTATTGCAGTTGTATTTAGACTATATAAATAAAGATATAATTGAAAAATGCATTTTTACTCTCAACTTGTTTAGGTTTCAATAATGACAGTATTTCCGATATTTTCATTAAATTTTTCTTCATACTTTTGGGCAAATTCTTCATCTCGCCCAGTTACGTCCCTCGTGAACTTATAACAGTTAATACCACTCTAAAAAATTAAATGGAGTCGCGATAGAAAACTAGTACGTTACCAACAAATAGATGCCGCCACAATATATATTGTGCACATATAAGCTTAGTTATTAAGATAGGGATAAATAACTTATCAGAGACTAGATTTTTGATGCTTGATCTATTATCTCAACAAAGATTTGTTCTTCAATCCTGCCCAAAAGGGGAAGAATATTAGTGTAGGATATATGCTTTTATGCTTATGTAGATGAATTCATTCTCTCGACCTACTGTAAGCTGGCGATATAGCTATATCTAAGGTAAAGTATAACTTCAAAACGGCGACGTCTCAAGTATTGAAGAGACATCCTCCTTTTTTCCTTGGGGAGCCTGGGTTCATTAAAGTCCCCTTAGAATTGAAACATTCGTGCTATAGGTGTAATATAATTTATATCTTATGAACATTTTGGTATTGTTTANGAATTTTTGGATATTGAAATTTTTCATCTTCTCCATCGTCGTTGCTGAATTGAATCTTCTATATTTCGAAGCAGCGGGGAATTACTTCAATGACAGTGACACTGATGTACGATATTTTCAATATTCAAACAGAATTCTTATGCAATTAGATTTCGTGACCTGGGCCCATAACCTGTTGTAATATGTAGGAAATCGAACTGTAAACTCTACTGAACCAGGTTTTAATCATGAATATACAAACGATACATTTTATGTATTAACAATGACATTAACTCATTTAATCAACAACGATTTTCCAAGGAATCATCATAAAACAATATCAATCAAAATGAAGTGAACATGGATTACTTCAACATAAATAAAACATTTGGTCGGACTTTTTAGGGATTATTCAAATGAAAGTCTAATAAAAAATTTAGCCAGCCACTATTTTGTATGGTTGTATTCGATATGGTATTTGTTATTTGTACATAAACAAGCACAAGAGGATCAACTCAACGTTTTCCAATTATACAAAAAATAATTGAAATGTGTCTCCATACTAAATTTAAATCACAAACGCTCCATAGGTTTCGTGTGAACCAACGACCCTGCTAGTGTATGAATACCGCTTCAAAAAATAAATACCAAAAGAATGCGATTAGGAAATAGCAGCTTATATATTCAAGTATACGCGTTGAATTTTAGTTGGATTATTTCTTTGCTTATTAGAAAACCGAGGAATTTTAATCATGTGAATTCGAAGATTTTGTCAATTTCTTACTACATTCCTACCTCATAACTAACTACATTAACTACATTAATTATCATTATGTGATTGATGGGATGAAAAAAATATTCATTCCCCTATTCTATCCCACAATCTTTATCTACCAAACTGCCAAATATACGATGTGCAGATTCCCAATAAAGATATCAGTTTAAAAATATGAATATTGCATGCTGAATAGAGTTCCGCCGAATAGTGGTTTCACCGATTAGCCGAATACTATTCGGTTTAGCCTTTACTGAACCGAATATTTCGCCGAATTATTCGGTTCAATTATTGATTTGAGATTTGAAAATAAGTGTTGATATAAGCTTTGGAAGGAAATGTGGATTTGTTTGTGGTTTAAAAAAATGTTGATTTCAAGTTCAAAAATAAATATTGGATTCAATTAAAGTTTAAAAATAAATATCGGATTCAAATAAAGTTAAAAATAAATATTGTTTTCATTCGAGATTAAAAAAAATGTTGATTTGAAGTTTGATTGTTTTATTTCATCAGCTTTATTCAGCTCATTTTTCATAGGATTTCTTTGACTCCAAAGAAAAAAAGGA